TCCACTCCTGCTTAAAGAATAGTAACTACAGTTTCTTTTCCTTACGATTTTCTTAACATTTTTTCTAGCTTACTTTATTGTAAGAATGCAATATATAATACATATAGTATACAAAATACTTGTTAATCATCTGTTTGTTATCAGTAAGGCTTCTGGTCAACTATTAGTAGTTAAGTTTTGGGGGACTCGGAATTTATATGCAGATTTTCGACTGAACAGGAGTCAGGGCCCCTAACTAACCCCCGCACTGTTCAAGGATCAACTGCACTGGCATTCCTCGCTAAATGCAAGGAGCCATTCAGCTGACCTCCTCCTGCCTGTGCAAGGGAAGATGATTTTCTACTCATGGTGGTTGTGGTGGCAAAAAAAAGGGGAGGAGAACAGAGACAAAATCAGAGCAGAGCAGGTGCTGTGCAGACAGCATAGCAGACACTTGAGAGATGGGTTTTATGGCCACGGGCAGAGAGAGGAATTGAAAGAAGGGACCCAGAAACCCAGGGATGGAACCCATCACCTGGCAACTGACTCCAGATTACAGTTCATTCTTGCTTGTTGAAAAGGAAAACCCTGTAAGTACTTGTAGTAAATTAAGTTTGACATCTTCCTTCAGAAGAGAAGTGTCCTAATTTCCACCACATGCCAAAAACAGCTGGAAGCCCCCAGCTGCTCCATAATTACTGATTAGCATAACAATGGTCTAATCAGTCGTTCATATTTGAAGGGTAATTTTGATTATTGCCTTTGCACACTTGAAGAGGGTTTCCTGGGGCCTTGTTTGCCTGGTACCTCACCCTCCTGTTAGGAGGACCCCACTTCAGTCACAGCAGGGCAACCTCCATGAATGTCAGAGCTTGTCCCCAGTGGCCAGAAGGCATTACAGCACAGCTCCTGTGCTATCAAAATGCCGTGGCTTTCTAGAGAAATCCTTGGGTGTGCCCATATTCCCATTAAAGGGTACATTAGAAAACTTTGTGTAGGTAAGTCCCTGTTCTGTAGTTTAAATTAAAACATTCAAATGTGAACATGCCCAGACTGAACAAGGTTTTTGTGAAATCAGTTTGCCTTTCCCTGGCAACACAGGCTGCCCTCCTCCCTTCTCAGAGGGACCCTGAGTGGCCAGATCAGCAGCTGAGAAATGGGACGTGTAGCAGTCTGTGTGGGACTCCCGAGTAGCTTGGAAAGGGACACAAGGAGAATCCATAAATCTGCTTATGAAATGTGAATCAGATGAATACTCCAATAGTGATAGGGCTTTTCGTATGGTTATAAATACGAAGCAGTTATGGTGCTTTATGTGCCGTTTGTAATTCCACTGAAACAATTTTTAAATGACCAGGTCATTCTAACATAAGAGAATACAAAGAACAGCATTTTCCCTTCCAAATTCAAAGGGCAGAACTTTCATTTTGAGATAATAATAGTGGGTAGGATGTTTTTTCTGTTGAGCCTGGAGCTCCTTGGGGTGGATCACACATTATCAATGCATTTTCTCATCCTGAAATTGAATGATGATGTTCTTGGAAGATTTAACATGGGAGTGAGTATGAGATCACCTAGGCTCAGCCCTGCTGGCATTATCTTGGGATCCATCCTTGACCCTCTGAAGCATCCAGGTGATGGGTGTGATCCTGGGTGGACTTCCAGATATCCCTACACAGTTCCAGACTTTTATGATTCTTAAACTTCGTAAAGTAAATACAGGACCTTACTTGGGAATGCGATCCCACGAGTATAGCCTATTCCTTAGACTCCCTGCGGATCAAATGAGTGCATTGCTGGGCACCTGCCTTCTCTTTGCCACCCACCTCTCTGTTACCTCCCAGGACAGTCTTGTTGATATTAGTGACAATGTAACAGTTAATTATCATGCAGCAAGCATTGTCATAAGCACTGTACATACATTATCCCATACCAACAAAACCTGTTAGTTGTAATAATATCTCCCGTGGGAGGCAGGGTTATTATCCCCACTTCATAGACGTAATGACTGTAACTCGGAGAGAGAGGTTAACAAATTGACAGAGTTCACAGAGCTTGTAAATGACTGAGTCAGAATTTGTACCCTGGTCCGTTCATTGCCCAAACCCATATAACCAGTACACTATACTTCCTCCAAGTATTAGCAAAAAGTGTCACTCTCCTTGACTTTTCCCTGCTTTATAAAGCAATGTTAGTAAGTCTGGTTAGAAGACTGATCTCAACTCCTAAGACATCTCACGTAAGTCTTATAAGAGCAATCACATGATATTTACTTGAAGGAAAAATACCTACATGTTATGAGTTTGAGCTATTCTTAAGGGAAATGAATCTGTACCAGTGAGGTCTGCAAACTACATTTTCAAGGGGGTCAGCCCTAGGTCATGGCCACTGATGAAAGCGCATTCATTGATTCATTCGTCACTTGGAGAACACCAAGGACACACTGTCCAAGGCACTCGGGATACAATGACAAAGAAAAGACATCCCCTGTCTTCAAGTGCTTCCAGTAGGGAAACTGAGTAAGGAACAGGTGATCACAATCCAATCTGGCAAATGTTGTGAGCTGGTCAACAGGATGCAACAACCTAGTGGTGAGAACCAATCCAGGGAGAGGATGTCAAGGTAGTCACATCCCATCTTTGAGGGCAGAGTCCAGCATTCCCTCAATGTCATTTGTCATCAGGTGGTTAAATGAGTCACCCAGTTTCCCCAGGAAGACCATCCTTATTTGTTCCCTTGTATTAATTGATAGATTAGAGATACCTGGTAATACATTCCCAGTGCTTTGGCTAAGATTTTGAGTCAACTCAGGAAAATTTTTCAAATGATAAATATCAGGCTAAATACAATCAGAAGACCACTGGGGACATTGGTGGGAGACCACAGAAGCCAGTTTTCATGCTCTCACCTCACCAATGAGGAATGCATTCATCCACCCCTAATTCTCTTAGAATGCCTCTATAACCTGGCCTGACACTCTGACCTAAAGAGTAGCCAAAGCATGTAAATTGTAGTTTATAGAAAGGAGAATAAAAATGTTGAAAATAAGCAAATAAGAAACCCCAGTATCTTTATTGTTACCAAAAGTGTCCCTTAGGCCAAACAAAGAACAAGGACAAGTGGTTTGAAGAAAAGGAAAGAGAAGTTTATTAATTTGCTGGCAAATAAGGAAGATAGCAGACTCTCATCTTAAAGAACCATCATACCCCACTTTAAACAGAAATACAGGGTTTTTAAAGGGGGTTTTCAGCTTTGGGCTATTGCTGTTTAACTCTAGCATCTCCGGTGAAGATGATCTCGTGATCTCTGTCAGGATCATTCTGTTGACCCATCTTCCAGTTTAAGATACTAGAAAACAAAGAACAAAGAACACTCCTCTGCCCCTGTGATTACCGGCCTCAGGCAGGAATGCAGGTTTTAATTCCTCAAAAAGGTAAAGGGGTTTTAAAGAGACAACTTATAAAACACTTTGCCCTTTTCCAGACCCTTACTTCTGTTACATTATGAAAATGTGCCTGAAACATAGGTAAATGATGAGATTTAAAAATAGCTATAAGAGGCAGGACTAGTTTGGGGAATTCATGTCCTAACTCACATTTCAGCCTAGATCGTATGAGGGAGCCCAGTAAAACCATTACAGCAACTAAAAAAGCCTTGGAATTTGTCAAGACTGCTGTGGTAGGATTCTCTCTTAGGACCAAGGAAAGATTCTAAATCAACTTTTCTCAGGAATCAAGTTTAAATTTTTCTGGAATTTCAAGCCATACTCCAACTGTACAGTGACGTCTTACGAAAGCTTAGAAAAAGCTGAGAAGGTGACAAGGGTCTTTGCAGGCCCTGACTCTCACCCAGCAATGTCGACTGAGCACTCACTGCTTGGCCAACCACCATGCCCGACAGTTAACATAGATTCTCTCACTTAATCCTCAAGAACGCCACTGCCAGGAGATAGTATTCTTGTCACCAAATTAAACACAGTAAAGCCAGACACCGAAGCCGAGAGTTCAGTGGGAGAAGAGGAATCTTCACTGCAGGGCTCCATGCAAGGAGTATGGGCAGCTAACGCTTGAGACCCACGCTCCCTGCTTCAAGCCAAGGCTGCTAAAGGCAGGCAGGCAAAAGTGTAAATCAATACATAGAGGTTATACATTGGCCTGACCCAAAAAGCGGCATAGGTGGATTCAGAGAGTCTTGGATTATTGGAAAGAAATGTTAAGATGGGTGTGATAGGCCCCTCGGGGGAAATTTAGAACAAAGAATGGCAGCTGGACTTTAATTCTTCAGTTCCCTTCTATTTTCAATCTGGTGGGGGTTTCTGAAAAACAACTCAAGAACCTATGTTAAGATGCCATCTTTTAATTTCTATAGGGAACCAAAACACCTGGTGACTCTGGCCCCTTTGGAGGGCCACTGTTCTCACCAGGTTGCCCAATTGCTTTTCGAAGCTAGCCAGGTGCCCAGAATTCTCCTGAAGGGACCCAAGATTCTCCTTTATTTTCATACTGGGCCCCCACCCGCACCCCAGGCAGTCCCCTAAGAAAGGTCCTTCTCCCGTATCATTCCCATTCTACAGATGAGAAAACTGAGACTCTGAGAGATAGTATTATAATTTACCCAGATCCTGTAGCTCATAGACGGCGGAGCTAGGATTCACTCCCAAATACACAACATTCTAGAGAAAGGTCTTCTGAAGTCAATAGACTAGTAGAATAAGGGCTGTACTGAGCAAGCCTGAGGAAGCCTTCTTCCCCCACCCCCGCTAAAAGCTACCACATGTTTCCTGGGCTCTGAAATCTGCCTAGAGTGTGACATTTAATGTGATGCACCTGCAGACTGTGCCGCAAGGCAAATGAGGCTGGATGAAGTACCCTTTCCAAAGGCACCCCACCTGCGTGTTACGAAGATGTGCACCTGAAAACAAGCCTGCCTTCTGTATATAAGGAAACCTCCCGGTGCAAGAGGGCCCCTGACTTTTGGGAGAGGTGGGGAGCTGGCAGCCAGCCGGGGCTCCTGGTGGCACCATGGGGCTGCTGCGGTGCGTCTTGCTGTGTTTTCCTTTATCTCTGGCTTTGAGTGGCCAGCACACACCGAAGGCCCAAGATCATGCTGGCGTGCTCCACTGTGGGCTGCAGGGCTTTCGGTTCACTGCAAATCCTCTCGGCCAGGAGGCAGAGACTCTTCCTGTATTAATAGCTTGGGGTAAGTTTGAAGACTCGCTCGGCTTAGCCAGGCAATGATATGTCTCCTCTACTACCTAAAACTATGCTGTAGCTTCTTGCCTTGACACTTTGCCCCTTGAATGAACCCTGTATCCGAGAACGAATAGTCTAAAACATAGCCACTTCTGATATGAATCTGATTTCCCTCTTATTCTTATTGGCAGCTGCCCCTTGGGGTCTCATGGCAGGGCTGGCTGTCCTCTCCTAGCACTGGTGACAGGGAGACTGACCACTGTGCTTTTTACCTCTCCCCACCCCTCCAGACAACCAAGGGCTGCTGCACAGGCTGCAGAATGACTCCGGCTGTGGCACCTGGGTAGGGGAGGGCCCGGGCGGCTCTGTGGTGTTGGAAGCAACCTATGGTGGCTGCTATGTCACTGAGTGGGTGAGTATGAGCCAGTGACCGGGAACACTGAGTGAGACCCCCTCATGCCACCGTCCAGGCTGACTGCCCGGGGCCTGTCTCTGCAGGACTCCCACTACATCATGCCAATCGGAGTGGAAGGAGCAGGTGAGGCTGGACCCAACATGGTTACGGAGAAGCAGCTGCTCAAGTGTCCTGTGGATCTTCTAGGTAAAGGTTGGACGCTTTCAGGTTCTGAGTCAGGTAGAGTTGCCTGGAAAGGTGCCTTTAGGCCTCTCCTACTGGCTCAGTGTGGTGACACCTGACACTAATGAAGGGTGGTTTTCTCCCACTCTCGCCTCCACAGGTGGTTCTTACAATAACTACCAATCGAAAGATTACTCAGTGCTAGGGCACTGTGGTAAGGGCTTTGCATGTCACTCCCCTAATCCTAACCTGGAGCTGCAAACACTATTGCTGTCCCCTGGCAGTGAGCTTACCCACAGGCCCGTCCCTGGTGAGTGACAGAGCTGGGATTCAAACAAGAACTAACCCGGAACCGGGAGCTCCTCGCCCTTGGGAAGGGCAGGGAAGGAAGTTGGAGCTAACTAGGGGACTTGGAAAACGCCTCCAAGGTACCAACTATACACTGAGACTAGGATCCAAGTCTCCTCCTCCCTCGGCTGGGGGCCACTTGGTCATTTCACTGGGGAATTAGTAGTAAGTAGGACACCTACTGCAGAAAGTCTTGCCATCTGAGAGTCCCACTTCAAAGTCAGAACAGATTTGAATTCATAACTCATTCTTCTCACCTGCCTTGCTACTCAAAATACAGCCTGGATGGGCAACACTGACAAAACGAGGAATGACGGGCCCACCCCAGACCTACTGAACCAGACTACTTTAAAAAGATATTCGGGTAATTCATGTCCACATTGCAGCTTGAGAATGCACCTCTATTGTTACTTGAAGGCATGAGGAAGGTGCCCCACCACTTCTACAGATCTTGTTGGTATTCCCTCCTTCCAAAAAGAACTAACATCAGGGCACTCCCTAGGAGGTGACTTAATAGTTCACCTTCCGAGACTTAATCTACAGCATGTAACATTAAGTAGATGATTGAATATCTATTTATGGGAATCCAACATTAATGACTTGTAGCAATGATGTTCAAGACCAACCTTTCCATTACCTGAGTTACTCTTCCTTTTTCAACACCTAGCCCAAGATGCTCCCGAGGCTGACCCGTGCCACTCCATCCCAACGGTGGACAGGCTTCCATGTGCAGCTTCCTCCATCTCTCGCAGTGACTGCGAGGAGTTAGGCTGTTGCTACAGCTCCACAGAGGTGAATTCCTGCTACTACGGAAACATGGGTGAGTCACCACGTTTCTGAAACCAGCTGAGGAAGAGAGCCAATGACTTACAGTGAAAGCCAGAGGAGGGTGGAGAGAAGGGTTTGCTCAGAAGGCAAACAGTGATCAAAGGCTGCCTTATGAGCAATGAGTCCTAGGACACTTGGACCCAAAGTAAGAGTTTCCTACAGCCTTTCGCTTTCTATTGTCCCAGAATCCACTATAAAGCCAATAACACTCGAACTCAAGAAGTTAGGTCTATGTGCCAGATACTCACTGATAGAAACTTAACTTTCTCCCCAAGGGAGAGCCACTTTGGCTGATGGTCTGAGATTGTGTTTAGAGAGCCTCATTTTAAGATTACTACTTTCTGCATGTCCTAAATCATGCTCCAAGTTTTTCCAATATTAAAAATCACTCATTGGACTTATATATGCCACACTCTAATATCTGAGTCTTAACTGATAAGTAAAACAAGGCAGGAGATAACAAACGAAACTGAAGCAAGGAGGCTCAATACCTTGCCTGGGGCCATGAGTTGTGCAGGCAGGACTCAAAGGCAGATGCTCATTCGGAGGAGCATCAGTGAGGCAGCTGACAGCTGAGCTTGCACCAAGGCCATAGCTGGGGATACCAACTTCACAACAGAAGGGATTAAACGTTGTTAGACTCCTGTCTGGCTGCTTAACAGGAGAGATGACCTGCCTTCAGCACAGCCACTCTGATGTTTCAGTGACCTTGCACTGTAGCCGAGAGGGACGCTTCTCCATCGCTGTGTCTCGGAATGTGACCACGCCCCCCCTGCTCTTGGATTCCGTGTACTTGGCCTTCGGAAATGACAGCGGATGTGACCCTGTGATGACAACACACACCTTTGCCCTGTTCGTGTTGCCGTTTACTTCCTGTGGTACTACAAGACGGGTGAGAGCAGCTGTCCTTGGGCTCAATTTCTGGCTCTGAAAGTCGGTGGGAACATCCTGATGAATGGTGGGGGATATCTTGGCCATGAAGGTTGCTCCTGACTCTATCACTTGGTGTTCAGGACAGTCTCGAAGGCAGAAGAATGCCTAATCACTGAGACAGTTGAAACTTCCCCTGGGTCAGCAAAGATCACAGCTGTGATCTAGCTAAGAGATTTTCACTTTACCAAGCCATAAAAAAGGAACAGGTTCCTTTTACAGCAGTGCTCTGAAAAACCAGCAGGGATGTTTATCGGGATTGGTGGTAGTACTCTAGCTGCCTCTTAGTACTCAAAGCCCCTTTCCATTCCTTTGTTCTGAAATAAGGCAAAGTGATAACTTTCCAAGTTATGTGCTCTTGCCTCATTTCTCAGGGTGCAGAGGAACATAACAAGGGTAGCATTGCTGAGGGGTAGCATTGCTGAATATTAGATCAGCAAGCTACAGGAAGCAGCATCTGGCTAGCAGGAATGACCAAGACTTTTCACCTACCCACTCCTGTAGATCGCTGGAGACCAAGCAGTATATGAAAACGAGCTGGTTGCAACTAGGGACGTAAAACGTTGGAGCCGTGGGTCCATCACCCGCGACAGCATCTTCAGGTAAAGTCTTAGTTAACCTGACCCTCCTTGGCCAGAATGACTTCCCTTCCTCCATAAAGCAGGAGTTCCAAGGTAAACCCTGAATCCACAAAAGAATGTTCCTCAGCTGGTGAACCTGTCCACTGCCTTGGCTCGCCAATCTCACGACCACCAATTAAGTCCACCTGCATCACTGCCACAAACTCGACCTAAGCCTCAAGCTCCCCTAGGTTTTTGCTTTTCCACTTAACTGGGTTGTTTCTCATCTCGGCCTCCTCCATTGTTCATGCTGTAGCCAAAAGGATCCCTTTAAAACCTTGTGTCAGATCACACACTTAAAGCTTTCTTGTTGACTTTAAGGTATGGAAAGATAACAGGAACATAACCTTCAGGGCCCTGCATGAAACAGTCCCCTCTCCCCTCTCCAGCCTGACAGCTTCTCACATTCTCAACCCCTATTTGCCAACTGCAGGCTCGTCCTTCTGAATTTTCAAGTCTTCAAGCTCTTTCTTGCCTCCACACCTTTTCTATATCAGGTGTTGCTCCTACCTCAATGGTTATCTTCATTCTCCTTCCTATCATGTCACCTGAAACATCTTCCCAGACCCCTTTCTGTATACTAGGCACCTGTTTCTCATGGAACCATGTCTGTTTCTTATATGGTTCTTATCTCCAACTCAAACACAGGTCTTAGTTACATATCAATCTCTCCAACTAAAATACAGCTCCCACGAGGGCAGGAACCACATCCATCACATATGCAAACGTGTCTAACACCTGACACTTGCTCCACAAGAGTTAAAATAAAAGGTGTGGTCAACCCACCTGAGCCAGCTAGCTAAAGTCGCGTTTTCCTGCAGGCTCCGAGTCAGCTGCAGCTACTCTGTAAACGGCAGCTCTCTCCCAGTTAATGTCCAGGTCTTCACTCTGCCCCCACCCCTTCCTGAGATCCAGCCTGGACCCCTCACTCTGGAACTTCAGATTGCCAAAGGTAAGACCCCCTTGGCTACAGCATCTGGCTTGCAATCTAAACTGTCACTGCTGGGGCATGAGGACCCTAAGTTAGCAACGAGACACTTGTACAGAGATATTTGTGGGGAAGATAGTCCTCAAGTGACTGTTTCTTACCATATCAACTCCTTATCTTGGCCTCTTGCAGATAACAACTATAGCTCCTACTACACTGCTGGGGACTACCCAGTGGTGAAGTTACTTCGGGATCCCATCTACGTGGAGGTCTCCGTCCTTCACAGAACAGACCCCTACCTGGGGCTGCTCTTACATCAGTGTTGGGCCACGCCCAGCGCAAACCCCCTGAGTCAGCCACAGTGGCCTGTACTGGTGAAGGGGTAAGTGGTTCTTTCATTCGTCCATCCCGAGTCCCTCAAAGAAGCCCATCCTGACTGCGGGATCTCTTGGCGTAGATGCCCCTACACTGGAGACAATTATCAGACCCAACTGATCCCAGTCCAGAGAGCCTCAAATCTGCCATTTCCCTCTCACCACCGGCGCTTCAGCATTTTCACCTTCAGCTTTGTGGACCCTGTGGCAGCAAAGCAGGCTCTCAAGGGACAGGTAGGATGCTGCCTTCCCAACCCTCAGCAGAGCTCTGAACCTCCCGACCTGGGACTATTTCCACATCCTATCACTCCTCAGCCCAGGCAGCCCTAATGCTGGTTGTTGGTTCTGCTCAGAGAAGCCCTTGATACCAACTCTGAGTGAGGTCTGTCAACTGGACTCTGGTTCTTTAAGGCTATTGTGACATTGGCTTGGGCTATCGAGATTTTCTGATAACCTCCTGAACTTCTTGCTTGGGAGACAAAGCAGGTTTGAAGACTTACAAGGTGGTGGTACTACAACGTGACTCACATTCTGTTGGCTCCCAGGTATACCTGCACTGCAGCGTGTCAGTCTGCCAGCCCGCTGAGATGCCATCCTGTAGGGTAACCTGTCCTGCTGACCGTGAGTATCCAAGCTGTCTACATGAGAGGACCAATTTGAATGAGTCTTGAGTCCCAGGTTTAACCTTTCCCAGCCTCTGGCCAAATAATTCAACTGGAGATTTACCTTATTAGGCTTCTCTAAGTACCTACTATACAGTAGAACCAGGGTTGACTTACTTCCTAGAATACCAGGTCCCTTCAAATAAGTTCTAGTGCTCTATACTGCTGTAGGATGACTACAGTAACAATGTATAGTCTCAAATAGTTAGAGGATGTTGAATGTTCCCAACACAAGTGATAAATGGTTGACATGGATTTGCTAATTACCCTGATCAGATCACTATACATCATATATAGAGACATCACTATCAAATACGTACAAACATATATGGCAAACACATAAAAACTATAAATCTTCAGGTAACTTTCAACCTTTCCATATGAATTTTTATTAGACCAAATGCCAAGCCAGTCCATTACCTATATATAGTTCAAAAACATCTGGCTAGCTTACAAATATAAATGTCTACACCTGCTTGAAGGTCTGTCAACATGGGCTAAAGATCTCCAGATGGAATGATTGTGGACTTAATATGTCCTCCAGTTGCTCATGGCCAATGCTCCTAAGGTGTATATGTATTCCACCTGATCCACCAACCTACCTGTCTAGCCCCTGAATGAATTGGGATCCAAGACCCCTAAAGCTTTAAGTCCCTTCCAGCAAAACTCATAGTAACTAAATGGTACTTAAGTACTTAATGTAGCATTTTACATACTTAGCATCCAACTCCAATCATGTATACTACCTCTACTTCTAATGAACTAAACCACCTCAGATTGACATTCTCAAAGTCCTATAACTGGCAAACAGAAGCAGGATTCAAATAGTTCGATTATCTATTTTACCAGTTGCCTCTATATCACATGGAAAGGTCTCTAAATTATAAACGTGCTACTGTCAAAGTGATCTCTATTCAGGAAACGATGGCAGTTGGAGATAGTTTCTAATATTTCTATGCCCAGATCCCAGTGATACTGAGGTGTTAGATACAAAGTCTGACTTGGTCAGGTTTGTATTAACACACTAAAATGAGGCCTTTGTAAAGCATGGAACGGAACTTTCCATATCGAGGGACCTGGACTTGTACCATAACACTCCCTGTCCCTGTCCTATGCGAGCAAAAACAAAACTTAAATCACTTGCTCTCATCTCTCCAACAGGAAGAAGAAACTCTAACATCAGTCTTCAGAACAGTACTGCTAGTGTTTCTAGCAAGGGCCCCATGATTCTACTTCAAGCCACTAAGGACCCTTCAGGAAAGTTCCATAAATATTCAAGTGAGTAGGAGGAGACCTAACTTTTACTACCCAAAGCACCAGTTAACCCAAAGCTGTTTCTTCCTATCCCCTACTGATCAATCTTTTCCTGAAAAGAAACTAACACTTTCCTATAGCAGAAGACTGCCAGTCTGTCAGGACACAGACTCCCTTGGTTGACTTCAGCACGTATTAATCTGTCTTTCCATCCTCTAGGTGTTCCTGTAGACTCACAGTCTCTGTGGGTGGGAGGACTCTCCGGGGTCTTAATCGTTGGAGTCCTGTTAGTATCCTACTTGGCTATCAGGAAACGGAGATGAGTTACTCAGACCAAATGTGTCAATAAAACAAGACTGCACTACTAGCCTGTGCTGAGCTTCTTATTTGGAAGGTAGAAAGCTAATCTAAAATGAGCCTATCTGCTGCTTTTGGCATCTCATCTTTCAAGCTTGGGGTGGTATCTCAGCTGAGAATAAAACAAAAACTGGTATAATAAACCCCTGACTTAGTAAAAGTTTTATAAGCTCAAGAGGAAAATATAGAACAAAACTCTTCCACAAGACAAGAGCAACCTAGCTAGGGTAGAATTGGTCTAGAACTAGTCATGAATCTCTTAGCCCATTGGTTTGCAAACTCCAGTATGCATCAAGATCACAGGAAGACTGGATAAAAAATTAGTGGCCCCACTCTGAGTTTGATTCAGTAAGTCTGGGATGAGGCTTAAACATTCACATTTCTAACCATTTCCCAGATGATGCTGTTCTTCCTAGTCCAAGCATCAGACTTTGAAAACTAGTATGTAGAGCAATGACTAAAAGGATGTATCCAATTATGAATTGGTCAACTGGAGATAGCTTGATCAGAGACTGCTTAGTTGAGCCAGAACTGACAAGTAGTTTCCTAATCTAGTGGTCTTTTAGACTGGTAGGAAAGACGAGGGGATACAATCACTGTGACTTCTCAAGGTAAATGTCCTGTTCAAGGAACTTTCTTATAACTGCTGTTGGTCACATTCTGGAGTACCCTCTTCCACAGTAAAGCTCTGAAACTAATCCTGGTTAAACAAAATTTCCTTATTCATCCCTCTTTGGGAAGTAACGTCTAGGTTGACACTTTAGCAAAGTAAAAGGTTTTACTGTTGGCTTTTGAACAATGTCTTTGCAGACAAGTCAACCCCACTTCAAACTGCTAAGCGAGGAAATGAATATTCCCTTTCTCAGACAGGGATGCTACACGCTTATGTGGCAAACCATCCTAGATGTTTGATAACATACTTGAGCCTCCTGACAATCTGACAGGGTGAGCACTCACCCCCAGTGTCTAGAACCTACGGCAGATAGAAGTCAAGTAACTTACCAGTGTTACCTGGTCAAGTAAGGGTAGAGCTAGAACTTGAACTTCAGTTTTGGAGTTAGATTTTGGTCTCGAAAGAGCTATTTTTAGTAAAATACAGTTTCCAGTTCAGCTAGACAAAGAGTTGTCTTAGGCTTGTGGGCCTTATGCTTTGCATACGGCTGTGCTAAATAAAGGTCTGTGTCTACCGACCAGTGCTAACAGCTGAGACTTTGAGGGGAAGAACAATGGTCTCTAATTGCGGTGGTGGCAATGTTTAACTCATCACTAAACAACTCACCTTGGCAATTGTAAACAGATAAAACCTCATTTAACCTGATACATCTAAAATTTATCTAACATAATTCAATTCAATTTATCTAACATAATCAGTCTCTGAAAACCATTACATACTTAAATATTAATTTGCATGGTGAACATCGATTGGAAATACTGTACTTCTAGGTATTCAAAGTTGGGAATTTATATCTAACTGTATTTTCCAATAGCTGAATAATACATCTGTCTCAAACTTCTTCATGTGCTCAACAGCATCACCTGGCAAGGAGCTACTCTAGCTAGTAGCTACAGCATGACCCTGAAGTCTAATTAAAATGTCTATTGGACATACTATGTGACATTATACTATGCATTGGAAGTAAAGCAGTGAACAGGAAATCTGCCCCAACAACTGGAGCAGACAAGTGTCAGGTGACAAATAAGAAAAATATAGTTGGGTAAAGAATGACTGGGAAAGGGGAATTGCCAAATTACATCTTTCTCTCCCTGTAAGAGAAATAAGTGGATATGGTCATGAATTCTTAATTTACCCCTAAAGCAAAGCAAGTGTATAAGGTCCTCTAAATGCAACTAAGTCATGAATCTGGGTTTCAACAACCAGGAGGGCTAGTCTAGCACAGTACCTGGCATGTAGGTTGTTTACATGGTTATCAATTTGCCCTTTGAGGGGAGGGTGGTAACACATGTACTATCCTATATATCTCCAAAGGGAGCTAGAACTTATTTCCCGTATTTTACCATGGAATCTCTCTCCAAAAAATATGAGAGTAATATCCTATATTTCTGCACATATAGTATTCTGGTTTTATAACAATAAAATCCTTAATAGAACTTAGTCTGATCAACGGAGAAAGGAATATTTTTGCAGGGAAAAAACTAAAATGTACCTCTGAATCGAATAGTCCCTGCCCAAAACTACCTAGCTTAAAGTTGAATAACTGCTCTAAAGAGAAATATTAGTCGGAGCCATTAATTTGAATGTGTCTCTTGGCTAAACTAGAAACTTGATTATTCCCCCCACACATACTCCTGGCCTCATTCTTAAACTAGCACTATTTTTTTGGCATTTGTCCAATTTTTGACAGCCTTTGCCTAGTAACTAGTAAAAATTTCCTTGTCCAGGGCAAAGGGCCCGGCACAGAGCAGGAGCTCAGAGAATATTTGCTGAGTGAATCACACCAAACCGTGACATAATTTACCCAGATTTAAAGGAGCCTAGAAAGTTCTCTGGCTAGATTTTAACCAGAACACATTCGCTCCCTAATCTAGCAATTTCTGACCAGGGAAGCCTCTTAGGATGAACAGACTCCCTGTCAGTAACCCCTTCCTTGCTCCCCAACTCCTCACATCTCCAGGGTGAGATCACTTGGTTCATAGGAATGAAAAAACTTTCATGATAATGAAGCCTTGCACTTTTGCCAGAACTTAATTGCCTTTATCTTTTGACAATCAGGAGATGCTCAGATTTCACATTTGCTATTAAAACATCCACAATTCATTTCTCCTCTTGAGTAAAATTTCTTTACCACAATAAAAATAAAAATACCACACAGAAACATTACAAATCCAGTAGCGGCTATAACATTCTCTTCGGAAACCTAGCTTTGTTACTCATAATTTTTTAACCAGCTTCATTGGGATATAACTCACATTCCGTATAACTCACCCTTTTAGAGTGCACAGTTCAGTCGTTTTTGGTATATTCACAGAGTTGTGCAACCATCGCCACACCAAAAGAAACTGTATTCCCATTGGAAATCACTAGTCCTCCTCACCCCAGCCCTTGGCAACCACTAATCTGTCGCTACAGATTTGTCTTTCCTGGACATTTCATATAAATGAAATCATATAACATGGCCTTTTGTGATTGGCTTCTTAGCATAATGTTTTCAACCTTCATCCATGTTGTGGCAAAATTCAGCACTTCGTTCCTTTTTATGGTTGAGTAATATTCCATTCTGTTATCCATTTATCAGTTGATGGACATTTGGAGTCGTTTCCATCTCTAGGCTATTGGGAGTAATGCTGCTGTGAACACTCCTGTACAAGTTTTTGTCTGGACATGTATTTTTATTTCTCTTGGTTGTGTACCTAAGAGTAGAATTTCTGGGTCACATGGTAATTCTATGTTTAACATTTCGAAGAACTATATAACTGTTTTCCAAAGTGGTTCCACCATTTTACGTTCCCACCAGTAATAGATGAGGGTTCCAATTTCTCCACACCCTTGGCAACACTTATCTTTTTGTCTCGAATTGCGAATTAATATTTATAAGCTGTTTTTAAATACATAAAAGGTATAAGACAACAAAAGGAGCCCATAATACTACCTGTAACAGTACTAACTGGCATGACCAACTTAGGAAAGAGAAAAAAATCAAACCATGAAGAAAAGCACAAATAAAATATCTCCCATTTCTCACTCCCAATCCCTCTCCCCCAAAGGAACTGTTGCCCACCATTTGTTGCCAGTCCAGAAGCAAGCTTCCTGTGTGCATGATCTTTAGTTTACACAAAAGTGACAGCTCTGTTCATGCTCCCCTGTACACAGTTGTCACTGCTATTTTTCTCTCTGTATATATGATATCCGTCTGTTGTCCAGAAGGCCTGTAGCCCCTACAGAATAAGAACGTGTGGGCTGAGGATGACAAGTATGTCCTTGAGGAATCCTGAGCGGTATCTTGCCCGCTGCTATCTTCTCACAGGCCCTAGTAAAGTACTCTGTATACAGGGAAAATCATTTTTATAAGATGACTTTGACCGTGGTGGGAAGAAGTAGTGTGTGTGTTAGCTTTTTTGCTGAGCCCCCTAAAGTAAACACTGGGAGGTGGGGAGGGTTGAGCCCAGGGTAAAGGGTACTTTCATGCGCCTGTATCATGTTCTGCATTTGGCCGTGAGACCAGGCTCCAGGCTCCTGATAACTCTCTGCCTGCTCTCTTCCATGTCTCCTCCAAAAGGTTGCTACCTGCAAGCTGTTCCTGGCATTTGCTGTTGCCCAGGAAGCTACAGAGAGGTGATGGGAAGATGCCTATAAATAAGTCCATTCATGATGAGGGTCAGAGAAGCAGCTTTCTGTCAAAGTCACATTTAAATTCCATGAGTCAACCCTTTTTCAATTACCATGCAGACAATCTTAATACAATCTATTCGAGTGACTTTTGTAAGATGACACCAAAGCCCTGAGACACCTCTAGGATGACTCAGTGCCCTTGATTTGGGGCCAATCAACTTGATGTTCTGTGTTTCCTGTGAATAAGTCCTTCCCTTATTTCACCCCATCGCCTTTCCATTATGAGTTCCTGAATTGGCCTTTCTTCTTCGTTTTTTTTTTTTTTTTAATTTAATCTCTAGTACCTCAGGAGTTATCTTCTTTTGGCCCAAAAGAAAAAAAAAATTTTTTTTTGAAAACTTTAATGATTGAAATATGGTTGCACAAGGAAAATACTTCCCCAGGGGAGGTCTGATGACAAAGTATACCAGAATGTATTAATGGAAAAGTGGACAGAGCACGAAAGCAGCGTTATTGAAGTATTATGATTGTGATAAATATTTATTTCATGTTAATGCCCTGGGTAAAATTAAAAGCAAAATGGGATGCAGAATTAATCATGAGTCTAGCCTGGTGAACTTATGTAAGTGAAAAGTTATTCTCTGAAATAGATGGCGTTGGAAGGAAAAGATGAATTTG